GGAATGTTCTTGATTCTTACTCTCTGTGCAGAGTATGTACACCTCATTCCTGACCTTTCTTTTAAAAACAGTTGTAAGGACTGCGCTTTTAAGCATAGTTCTGTTTCTTTGTGAAAGATCACGTTTGCTAGAAATCTGTAAAATCAAGTTCGTTTGGCTGTCTGCGTGTGGGTGTGTTTCTTTCAGCAAAATAAACTTGACCATTGATAGCTGGCTGAATAAATCCTGTTTGGAAATTATGTAGCTGACAAAAGCTATTTTGTTGGAAGCACTTAAGATGAAGCTGCATGACTGTACAGCAAAAACGAAGTTTATAGCCACATGGTGTCTGCATGTAAACCTAAAATAAGACCACCTTCACCTGTACACTTTGACTGGCATTTCCTTGTTTGCCTGAAACACAACCAAAGTCTTAAAGATCCACAGGCACAGGAGTCTTGAGAAATCTAGTTGTGTTTCGTTTTTGTTTTTTTTTTCCTCCCAAGCCTTGTCTTGGAGAGGGACTCATGTATCCATCCCTCAGAGATGGGGGGCCTCTGAGAGGAGCACTCCGGGGAATTCTTTCTGTGTCCATTCTCTGTGTTCTTTGATAATGTGTAATAGGGGCAGGAGTGGTAGCAGGAAACATATGTGCTTTTCTGGTTTTCCTCAAAGCCTTTTCTTTTTCCTGTGGTAGTTTCAGAACTGAGACCATTTTTGCAGTTGAATTTTCCCTCCCTTTGCAAAAAGTGCTATTTTCCAAGTGTGGCAAAAACATTATTTCCTAGAACTGAAAGTCCTTACGGGCCAGGATAATCCTGTGCTTGTTCTGCATACAATGTAACGCATAACATTTAAAGTCTGCAACCAAGTATTAATCAAAGCTCCTTTATGTTTAGGGATAAGCTGGCTGTTCTTCAAACATTGGCTTCTACTGTGAAGAGGGTAAGTAGTTCTGTTGATCATGGAAATAGGTCAAGTTGTCCATCTCGTGCAATAGCCTTGCACTCTGGAGGCATTTACTTCTACTTTGGCCATAAATGAAAGGTGTGACTTTTACATCAGTTTTTTGTGGGGTTTTCACTTTTGCTCAACGTACTTTGCTGTATCCTTAAAGCCTCATTCTAGTTGTAAGAGAAAGCTGCAACTACCAATGAAAGCTGTAATACCAGCCATTGATAATGCTAACATCAGGAGCGAGTTCCTTTACCAGTTCAGCTTCCCAGTCTAGACTGCCTTTTCCCAATCTCAGTCCAGAAAGCAAGTCTTGCAAAGAGCGATGAGTGTCTACTCTTGCTAGGCAAGAACAGTAAATGCTGTGATGCCATTCCTTAATCCGGTCTGTCTTGAATTCTGGAAATTGAATCTGATGCTGCAAGTCCCCTCAGATCCCCTTAGACTGTTACAGTTGGGATCCTACTTGCTTTGCAGGGCACTTACTGCTTGCTGTGTTATGGTAAGGACCCTTTTGAACAAGAGGAACTTTTGTAAAATGGGCATCAGGTGGTGGTTATGATGGAAGTGTTCATTGCGCCTTAAATTCCATGAGGCAGAGTGGTTTGCCTACAGCATGCCTGTGAACATACTTAAACGTTTCAATCCTGGCTTCTACTTTCTACAGGATCCTACTGCTGCTCATTATATGTTCCAGGATGACCCTTTCCTTATGCCAAGAAACGCAGCCAATTCTGTAAGTATTTCCTTTCAAATCCTTGATAGCTTCCACCTTCCTCCCTTCATCTAGGCTATGAAAACTCTGTCTAATTGGAGCCTAGTTTCAATTACAAAAGAAAATGAAGTAACAGATTTCTTTCAGAATTTTGTCTTTGTGTATTTCTGAATGCATAATGACTGTAGCATTTCTGTGGACAAATCCACCCAGCACACACAAAATTATCTCTTCTTCCCGCCCCTATAGGGACCTTCCAGCTGACACAGCTCTGTTAGTATTCCTGCAAGTTAGTGGCTTACCTGCTGAGTTGTTCTGTTTCTCCATGTTCTTAGTCCGTTAAATAACTCCCAACAATAATTCTTTAGGTTAGGCATTCAACCTGTTAAAACTATGTGTACATAAACAGAATAGACTACTTAGATACAGACTGTGAATATATCGTATTCCAAATGTTGAGATTTTGTGTTTACGGTTTCATTAAATTTGAATTAAATACATAACTTAAAACACACAAGGTCACTTGTGTGTGTGTTACTACATAGACTACTTGTTATCTGTTTACTGTCCTGGCCAAGCCCCAGGAATTTTAGTTTTGTCACAGAGCAGCCATTTGGTAACTTAGGCTTATGGAAATAGTAGTATTGAGATGATAATAGAAAGGAAGAAGGAAAGGAGTCTTCCCCTGATGTTATCTTTGCATAAGATTAAAGAGCGGGAAGCTGAGGCAGGAGAAAGCAGAACTGGAAATGAGGTCAAGAAGGAGCTGTTGTGTGTGATGTTAATTAGAGCGTAGTGAGAGAAGACTGGGAGCTGAGACATGTTGTCAGAAATGAGTGGTGTGGCTACAAGAGAACTTCAGATCTTGTCCATACCAGAGGTGAAGCCATTGAGAAGGCTGAAGGTAGCTGTCGAATGTGAAGAGTTTTAAAAGAAACAACAGAGGAGGGTTTGACCTTAGAACTTGAGGAAAAGAGGTGAATGGGAATCAGGTGATGCTCTTGGAAATGACAGTCAGGGAGAGAAACGTCCGAGTGCTGTAACTCTAAAGAGGTATGCTTTTGAGCTTGAGGCAGTACTGCAGCATTTCAGGTGTCTGGCACAGAACTTTGTCCCTTAACTAAGTAACAACGAAGTAAATTACAGTCTTATTTAAAAAGCAGACATTCTTACGTTGACATAAATATCAGAATGTTTATCTGGAATGTTGTCTTGTGCCTGTGTTTTTACTAAAAGTTGAAAATGAAGCACGAGTATAATTTGATCCCATCAGAATGTTATGGAAAATGTTTTTTCTCACTCTCAGCCTTTTAATTGTGTGTTTCTTCATCTTGTTCTCTCTCATTCCTATGCAGCGTCTCTTCTCATTGTCAAAGGAGTCTGGGAGAAATGCTGCAAAATACATTATTAAGCAATTTCCTCAATATTTTGACAAGACTTTTGCAGAGCCCAATGTACCAGTAAGCATTTTGCTTTTCGTTTTCATTGTATTTGTGCTTTGTCAGGTAGTGAAATCAACTGTCAGATTGGTCCAAAACTAATATGAAAGGGCAATTTTCTTAACTGTTTTGCAGACAGGTATGAAAACAGTCCCGTATTTCCATTATGTTTCTGAAGTGAACATTTTTCCTTAGGAATTCAAGACCGTACCGGGTTCTTTAGATAAAAGTAAGAAAAGAAATATTGTTTAGATGTTGACTTAACTAACATGAAAGTGGGAGATCAGGATGTGTGGTCCTTCATCACCAAAAGGACTGCTGTCGTTGGGCTGGGAGGGTCGAGAGATTATCAAAGCAGTATACTGGGTGAAGAGTAAGGATATTTGATTAACGTTTTAACGATGGTTTAGAGAAGGTTTGAGTTCATGTCTAACTTAACATTTTTTGCTTTTAGTGCTTGATGCCTGAGACTCTTACACCTCAGATTGAAGGAGTGAGTGAGGAAGCTCTAAAAGAGCGTATCCACCTCAGACAGGTGAAAGATTCTGTGAACCTGTTCGATCAGCTCATACAAGCAGGTATGTGGTCGCCTGCCAGATTCTGTGGTGGAGCTCTACTTAAATTGTACCGAAAATATTTTAGTAGCTGGCATAGACTATGGAGACAGTTTCATGGCTATGTTGCTGCCTTTCACAACTAACTGTGGTCTGGTGAAGTGGTTCTCCAGAATTATTGAGCCCTCCTTATCCACTGCTTGTCTGACCTGTCACTTTGGTGATAAGGAGAACAAATGATTTCTTGATCAGGAAGCAGATGAGATGATGTTGAGTTTTTTTCTTTTCTTCTGAAGTAGAAGAATTGTGATGCAGTAGAGCAGGGCCTGTTACAGGCAGATCTATGTGATTGGGTGATACCATTCTGCCTGCAAAGGCCCTTGTGCAGTCGCGTGTTGCTTGGTATAAGCTACATATGTGCTGAGCACTTTACTGCTGTGTTGGACTCTTATGACGTACCAACTGAGTGCCCCTTCTGTGGACCTGCCCTCAATAAATGAGTCTTTCTCGGTTATTCCTTAATTTGGATCTTATCTCTGTCATGGGCAAATGAGGAGGAAGCAGTAGAAGACTGTAACTGCCACAGCCTCTGAAGGAGGAAAACTTACTGGGAAGGTGAGACCTTCTCATATCTGCTACAAGATGGAAAGGAGATGATTCCATCAAATAGTGCTTTTCTTTTGTTGGTTTTTAAATCTGTTTCATAGAAAGTGAAACACACAAAGTGGTCTTCATGGCAGGGTATATCCTGGGAATAGTTATGAAAAGCAGGGTGGTCTTCACAACAAGGTATATCCTGGGAATAGTTATGAAAAGCACTAGAAGTTTCTGGTGTTATTTTGCTGCTTCACAGTTTTGGCTGCCAGCTGCCATTTCCCTCTCCCACTTGGTCAGGAAAACTCTACCCTTTCAGTGGCTTAAATAGAAAAACAGATACTCTAGTGCAGTGTTAAAATTGTCTCCTGCTATGAATGGGTTCCTGGAAGTATTAGTGTCACACTCAGGTTTTACAGACTTGCTAGAGAACACCTTTATGTCGAAAGAGAACAATGTGGCGTAACTGAGTGTTCAAAAGTTTTCTGATATGCGTGTAGAACGGTGTGTTCTTTACTTTCTCTGTGACTGTTGTACATCCTTATTTTCTGTAGGTACCCCTGTATCTCTGGAGACCACAAACAGCCTTTTAGATTTGTTATGCTTCTATGGAGATGGAGAATCTACTTCGGAAAAAGAAGAAGAAGAAAAAGAGGATTTGGAAGAACCAGGGGTATGAAAAACCTGTTGGTTTCTATTTATTTCTTTCATAGGTAGTGGGAGCATATCAAGGTGATGTCAAGAATTTTGTACTGTGACTACCTGGCTGGGAGATGGTGTGAGGTGGATCAGATGGAGTCAACATTCCCAAGAGATACGGCAGTTATAAAAATCCTGTGTCTGACCTAGTAGCAAAAGTAGTTTCCGTAAAGCTGAACTTAGTAGCTGGAACCCTGTCTTGGCTTAGTTCCGCTGAACTGCGTTTAAATAACTATTTCTCACTGACAATCTTGTTTTTATAGTTGCCTGCAAAGCAGACCTCTAGTGTAGATCAGCTAGTTAATTTTCTTCCAGTCTGAACCGTATTATTGAGATTTCAATGAAACTGAGGGCTCCTTTTGTGACCTCAGAGTATCAGGTCACTGGGTACAGTAGTAGGTATTTTGCACAATACTTGTCTCTGGGAAGACTGTTGAGGGAGAAAGGGCTTTACAGAGTATATGCTATAGTCTAATGATTCCCACCAACTCCACAAATAGATATAATTTACCTTTTTAGTATGTTTAATAGCATAAACAGTATTCTTAATCTAGTTATTGCTTCCTGAGCATTATAATAGAAATTATTTTAATGTAACCCATTAAAAAACACCTGTGGTAGCATATAAATTGCTGCTAAATTTCTGTGTTGTTACCAAATCACATCATTTGATGTTTAGTTGTAACTTTGAACTCTGAGAAACTTATTTCTGCAAAAACCTCTTCAGGTTTCAGAGCAGAAGGCTCCAAAGAGACAATTCCAAAGAGGTTCACAGTCATCTGGCCCTAGATGGAGGTATGGAAAACATTGCCAATATTCCTGTATTCAGTGGGTTGTGCACATGCATCATTGTTATAAAACAGGCTTCAAGACTTCTTAGTAGCCCATACTCGCAGGTGTTACTTGTTAAATACACCTATGTTTGCTATTCTTTTAAAGCATTGATGGAAATCTAGTTGGTGATTGTAGAATAGCTCAAAGTATTACAAGTGATATATTTGAATGTCAGCCCTTGGGAGTACAGCCCGTTATTTTGTTCTGCATGTTGAATCCTTTTCCTAAAGGTATTTTTTATTGAGTTCTTTAATATTCTGCTTGTTTGTTGATTCTAGGGAGGACAACAATGCTGAAAGGATATTTAAGATAATGCCGGAGAGGAATGCACACTCCTATTGCACAATGATCCGTGGGATGGTGAAGGTAAAGTTATCCTTCAGTGCTTGCTGGGAGGACTTTTTTCAGCTTGTGAAATCTCACACAGTCATAGAGATTGTTTATTTTTGTTGGGTTTTTTTTGTTTTTGCAGCATGGGGCTTATGCTAAAGCTTATGACATGTACATAGACTTGCTGAATGAAAGACACAAGGGTAAGTGTCTCCTGGTTTTGCTTTGGGGTCTTCTAAGTAACAGAAACCCGTTGTTGGGTACATGAATATTTGTTTCATGGCAATGATGATTGGCGCAGGGGTACGGACCTCGGCTAGATCATGGGAGCTGAATGCAGACTGTTTATTTCAGTGCAGCTGGCGTGTGGCTGGCTCACTGGAAACAGGTTTGCATGAGACTTCGCCAAAAACTGAGCCATGTTAGAACAAACTGTTTTCTGTAGAATATAATTGTCAGTTAAAATGAATTATCTCACATTTTTCCAGCTGATGTGCACACCTTCAACGCACTGATTACAGCAGTCCCACATCTAAAGGAGAGGTTCTTAGAAAGATGGGAATTAGCCAAGGTAAGGAGGTAGAGCGAAAGAGATGGGGAAGGGGTCAGAGTGTAGGGGCTGGATCTGCTTTATCAGTAGAATTTTGCAGTTGTTAGAAGACTGAAAACAAGAGCTTTGTATGAAGATACTAATATCTGCTGGAAAGGAAGTACAGTAGTTTAAACATACAAACTAACTGTTGAGGAGTGGAAAACGTACAAAATCCAGCCTTGCTCTTGCAGAATGGTTTGCCTTGTGAGAACACACTTGATCCAAGAACTGCCTGGATGGAAAGTAATTGGGAAATTATGCTGGGAGATAACAACAAACAATTTTAGATAAAAACTCTGTGAATTGTAATTCATGGTGGTGTGATGGCAATGGAATTTTGAGGGGTAACATTAGAGGCTCCAGTTTTAATGACATAACATCAGTAAGGAAAAATGGCATGTAAATTAAAAAATTTCCTTGATGTTCTAGACACAGTTCTCCAAGATCTAATCTGATGTAATTTTGTAGTCTTGTTTTTTGGTGAAATTAATTAAAAATTAGCTGGTACTCCTGTAATCAATGATCGATTGAGGGGAGTGAGAAAGATTAGATTGAGGAAGTGCATGTATACCTACCTGAAAGCTGAACTGTGATCCATAACGTGTGAAGCACTAAGAATTTGGGAATTTTGTTTAAGGTCTTCCTGAATCACATGGCTCAACAGGAAGTGCAACCAAATCTACTAACTTTTAATGCTTTACTGAAGACTCTGAGAAGATGTGGTGGTGTAGGCAGAAGTATGTCTTTATTGGTAATAAAGGAAATGGAAGCACTTGATATAGGTAAGAGAACCAGAATGGTTATTGTATTCCAGTGCCACCTCCGGAATAGTTAACTTAAGAGTTCAGCAGCAAACAACACAGGGATTCCTAGTTGCAGGGAAGAAGTCCAGGGCTTATGGAAAAAAAAACCCCACATTTCTTGCTGTGTCCTCGACTTCACTATTTGTTTCCTTTTGCAAAAGAACTGAGAAAGAAAAATGTGGAAGTACTAAGCAGTGGCTATTCAGCCAGCCAGTGCCTGTGGATTTCAAATTGTCTTTGTTCAGTGTTGGTTACTAATTACAACGTACAAATACACTTAGCCCCTTAGGTCAAATAATGAAGCATTTTGATGCTGTAGTCTTTTAGGTTAGGAGCATATTTATCATTACATTTTTACCTGTAGTTACGTCTAGCTACTCAAGGACAGGTGCCTGTATGCAGTGGAGGAGTGTGTCCTGGCCCATAGGCTCTTTCTCAACTGGCTCCTTATTGTAGTACTGCTGTAGAAATAGTGAGTAGTACAAATATTTATTTGCAGCAGAGTCAGCTGAGTCTGTTAGCTTCCCATAGATCAAGGAGGTTTACTTCACAAGCTACCCAAGGCAGTTCAGGTTTATATATCTATGTGTCTACAAAAAAAACTTTTGATCTAGATGAGGGTTTTTGATGTGAAATAAACATCGCAGAAGCAGGGAATATCTGCACAACTGATTTGATGTCTTGTGGAGTGTGCTTTGCCCCAGTAACATGCTTGTTGATACACTGAAGATATGTTCATGAGCAGAAGGGAAACTAGCTATGAAGTGTTTCTGCCTTTAATTTAAAGCAGGGAAGCTTGACTGCTCACCCCATAGCAATATGATGCTTCAACTGTTGGTCCACCCTCAGATACCGTCTCTCCCAGTTGTAACGTGTAGATGAGGTCTAGTCCAGCATTAGGGTGGATGGGGAGAGAAATTAGAGTAAATTTGTGTATGCTGCCTAACTGGAAGGGCCAGAGGTCACGAATTAGAATGCAGGCATAAAGCTCAACCCAGAATATTGAAGTAATCAGAATGTTTTTGCTTTTCAGAGCCGAGCCTTGCAACGTATGATCATCTTCTCTTTATATTTTATAGAGGCGGTATGTGCAATATCAACTTGTTTATGGATGTGTCCTGTTTAATATCTGCTTTAAATGCTTTCCAAATGTGATGGGTGAAGACAGTTGATTTATGGATTGAAAGGCAGCCTCTTATGTGTGCAGTCCTAGTGTTACCTGTGAAGTCTGATTCTACTTGGGTGAAGAAAAAGCTAGAGAATCATAACCTCTTACAGGGAGGGAAGAGTCCTTGTGTTTTGAGAATGGGCAGAACTGGAAAGCAAGCCTGTTTCCTTTCCATTTGTGGACACAAGTTGGTAAACCTAAAGAGCAAATGCTACTCAGTTTCTGTGGAGGCTGGATCTGACTACAACAGATGTGATTTCGTAGACTGCGCAACTCGCAAGGAGTAAATTGCACAGGGATTCTGTTCTTCTGCGACAGTTCTGTGCGTTGGAGGTGTCTTAAAATACAGCTGTGTTAGAAGACAGGAGCCCAACTGTTGGAGATCTTTTAGCCAAAAATCTATGGGCATGGAAGAGAATAGGCACAGTAGTCATAACTTCAGTCCTTGTGTTTTAACAAATGTGGAGGAACCACTGTGAGGCCTCTCTGGGTTTGGTTGGGGTTTTTTCTTGGTTTTTTTTCCCTTTTTAAATTTTTTGTTTGTTTATGAAACTCTTTACTTTTCCTGGTGCAGCCTTCTAACAGACAGACTCCTAGGCATGTTGGATTCCTTGCTAGAAAGTACTTTTATCTTTCTGAATCTACCGTGTTGTGCTGTGGAAATCTGGCAATAGTAGGGCAAATTTTAGGGCAAATAAAGTTGCAGCTGATGTGGAGCACCATGAGAATCATGATGCTTATTTGAAATCATGTTGCTTGTTTCCATTTCCATATTATATTTGCAGTCTGATGCTCTTGACTAGTGTAGTGCTTAGCACAACTGAGATGTGATGTTGCTTGTCTCTTTGTCCTGCAGTTGGTCTTTGCCCTTCGGGCATCATCTCTGAGGTACTAGATGATGTTGAAACGAGGAGTTTCACTCCCCAGGACCCTGATGATGGTAAGGACTTCAATATATCTGACACTTGACATTGATTAAGCTTGGGTGAAAATTTACCTACAAATTTCAGGTAGTTCTACCCAGCTAGGAAGAATGCATGCAGCTTGCTTATATCAGTCCCTTCTGATACTTTTTGGAGACAAAGAAGGACAAATTCCAGTGCTGGGAAGTTGTGCTGTGCTTTGGTGCGCTGGCATCTCTGTGGAACTAGCAGTGTAGCCCATGTGAATGAGTGTTTGAGCCCCGTGCAATAAAAACCACAAGGCTATTTACAAGACTAGTTTAAGGAGGAACATCTGCTAACAGCTTCATGAAATGATACACATCTGCTGGACAGCAGGTTTTTGTTGTAGTGTGGTGTGAGTTCCTATCCTAGTTCTTCCTAATCCTTTTCAGAAAATTGCATGAAATAAAACTTCGTGCAAAACTGAAGCTTGGATCTGCAGAAGGGACAGATTCTGAACGTCCCACTTTTCACTGGCTCTGTCTGCCAGCTGTATGTACACAACTTTGCCCTAGGATGTTTATAGCCTTTCTGTACATACAGAAGTAGACGCAGCTTCAATCTGACGAGGAGTGTGGCGAAGAGGGGTCTGTAGCTGTGCTACGTACAACGTGGTGTTAACAAAGTGTTGGAAACGGCTCTTTAGCAGCTGACAGTCCTATAGATGGATGAAGCAGCTATGACAGTGCATGTTTCAGGAAACCAGCGAGGAGTTGGTATGGGGTTTGGCCATTTAAAGGACAAAAATAGACTATGAGATTATGTTGGAGTAACATATTATTTTTTGTCCTTGGAAAGAAACCTGGAAATAGTCAGAATGTTGTACATGTCTTTTATTTGCTTCTCCCCTCTATGTGTGTTACATCATTTCTTGCTGTGGCTCTAAGCTGCTGCCAGAAGCATAGACAGTGACTGTACCTGCTCTGCTCCTTCACACTCTTTATAGAAATACCACTGTTAGGCAAAGGCAGTGATGATGGACACGCAGTCATAGGCCTTACCTGAATTGTGGGAGTTGAATGAGCTTTTCTACACAGTGGTTTAAAAAGAAGAAAAAAAAAAAAAAAAA